GTGTCTGTCATTGAGGGAGCAGGGCAGGGAAGAAGCGAGCCCCGAGGAAACTGAGGGCAGCCCCCAAGCCCCATAACCCGAGTTCAGCAGAAAGATTCGATCCTAAAGGCCGTGGGGAGTTCCGGAAGGGTTTAGACAGGTGACTGCCAAGGTCAGAGTTTTATCCCAAGGCCGTCTTTTGGGGAACCCAGGCTCAGGCACCAGAAAGACTCTGAGCACAGCCCCCGCTGGCCCAGCAGGGGCAGGGACTTGATCAGAAGTAAGCCTTTGCTTCAAGCCCCTGGGGTTGAGGAGCCCTTTGTCACAGCAGCATGACTTAGCCAAGCTGGAGACCATAATCCCGTTCGGAGAAGAGGACATAGGGCTCAGGGAGGTAGGTGGCAGTCTAGATGTTCCCAGAGCTGTCCCACAGCCACTCTGCGCTGCAGGGAAAAGGGAAGGAGGGAGGTGTCCCCGCTCAGCCTTAAAGGAACAGCAGGGGCTGTGGCTGCAGCCCACGGCTCCCGTCCACTCTGGGAGCTGGCTCTCCGACATCCCGTGGGCCTCTGCCCACCTCCCGGCCACTCCTCAGTCCGCTGGCAGCTGTTTCGGCCACTGCCATCAGACCTGGGACCCCAGGGGCTGGGAAAGGTGACTCTTCCCTCTGGTGTTTGTGTTCTGTCTCCACGGAGTCGCACAGCCTTTCTCAGCCCGTCGGGGCAGGGGGGCGGGTAGGGCGGTGACCTCAGCACACAAGCACCCACTGAGGACAGCCCTGGTGCCCCCACTTTGCACCTTCCTGGGGGCCGGGTTCTGTCTTTGGTATGGAGTCAGGGAGGAGGTTGTGGGTGAATCAGACCCTCCTTGGTTGGGCTGAAGGATCGTGACCATCTGTTTGTTTTCCAGAGTCAGCAGGCCCTGGAAATCCTCAAGGTGCCTTTCGTTAAGTGTCTCCTAGGGTGTTAATGAGAGGAGGAGAGAGAGACAGAGAGAGGGAGATGTTCTGAAGACCTCTCAGATCTGACTCACCCCTCGCAGCCGAGGGTCAAGGACACGCCGGGGGAGGTGGGGGGCGGGGGGTGTATTGAAGAGATTTTTCTCTTTAGCAACTTGAAAGCCGGGTCTGGGCAATTCAGCCTCTTGGCCCCCGGATAGGGCCGTAAACAACTGTTTTTCTGCATGCCACGGCCGGGGTGTGGATGATGCCTAGAACTCTCCTGGCTCAGCTTCCACGGTCCATTTGCCTTCTGGTCTCCCCAGGGACTGAGACGTCCTCTCTGTGCCCACAGCGGCTGGACAGGTAGAGAGCTCCCCGCCCCTGGGGGTGTGCAAACCAGAGATGCCACCGATGGTTCGAGGGTCCTCGAGGGGGACCCTCCCTGCCAGGCTCAGCTCAAGCATCTGCCAGGGG